TACACAGCAGGAGACTCATATGCTGTTTTATTAATATGCTAACTTAAGGCTAAAATAAGAGTCAAATAACATCTCAGTTACAACCACTTTGAGTTGCTTTAGTCTAATGGTGATATACTGGCAACAAAGAACTAAGCTTTGGAATGAGGATGAAAAATGCAGCTTAGAGTTTAGAGATTAGAAAGTTTCTATCTTTACAGACATTGATTTCAGACTGATATTTTAAATTATGTTTTGCTTACAATTTGTTCATATAACAATAATAAGATGGTCCTCTATGGTGAGAATTTCTGTATTACCCTCACTAATATATCTAATACATTTAGGTACTTCTGTTGTAACTAAATGCTCTTGAAAAATTAGCTACTTTTTTAAAAAATCACAATTTTCTTTTGATTTCCATTTTAATAGCAAAAATAAGTTTGTTCTAGCAGTTCTTGCCAACCCCAATGCGTAATGAGAAGTGGGTTGGTTAGGAGCTCCTCCAAGGATAGGCAGCCAGGCTCAGGCTGCCATCTGAACTCGGGGCCTGAGTAAAGATTCCCTGCTCTTCCCATTCAATGACTGGTTCTTGACAATAGACAGATACTGAAATTCAAAGGCCTCAGCACCTTCTCAATGAGACACCAGTGCTGTAAATAAATCATTTCTTGATCTTTAAATGCCATTTCTACTTCCAAGCAAGAAACATACACCTAAAATTATTGAAAGGGATAAATGGAATGTGTTCAAGCGACAAAAATAAATGGAGCTTTGTTCTTTTATAAAGAAAATTACGTACTTCGGAAAAGCTAAAAATACCTTTAATTGGAGAGAATGTGAATATCCCTTAAGGAAAAAGAAGTAGCTAATTGTACTAAGAAATTTAATGAGATTATCACATACCTTAATGGTTCTGGAGACACCATGGCCTTTCTTTTTTAACTGTTAGAGAAATTTGTACATTTGCTAACTTACACCAAGTGGATAATGCACCACAATGGGTTTTTGAAAAGCTACTCTATTAAGTTCTTCCAACTCAAAGTGACCAAATAAAGTCAAATCACAACAAATCTAGAAAAGTAAGTTGTGAATTTAAAGAGAGGGCTAGCCTTCTTGAAAGTGAAATCTAAAATAGATGTGCTAAGAGCTACTTTCAAAAAATAAAACCCTAGGCCAAGTTTCAAATCCTAGGATGTGTGGAGCAGTCCCTCATGCAGGTGTATCTTTTTTTATTATTATTATATTATTTTGAGATGGAGTCTCACTCTGTCACTCAGGCTGGAATGCGGTGGCGTGATCTTGGCTCACTGCAACTTCCGCCTCCTGGGTTCAAGTGATTCTCCTGTCTCAGCCTTGAGTAGTTGGGATTACAGGCATGCACCATCACATCTGGGCTAATTTTTTGTGTGTTTTTAGTAGAGACACAGTTTCACTGTGTTAGCCAGCATGGTCTCGATCTCCTGACCTCACAATCCACCCACCTCTGCCTCCCAAAGTGCTGGGATTACAGGCGTGATCCACCGTGGCTGGCCTCATGCATGAGTTTCTTCCTGGTGGCAACATAATATTATCTGATGTGGAACCAGACAAAAGAGCTTGGAGGACACAGAAGATAAACTCATTGTAAAACTCTAAAACCTGACAGGGACTTCAGTGTTTCTCCTGTCATCTGCTTCCCAGCTCTTCTTACTCAGTTACCCTCGATTCTCTCTGGTCCTTACCCAGTGCTCTTCTGTGTCTGGACCTTTCCTGCAATGGGTATTATGCCCACTGGAAAGACATCCTTCACTCAGTCGGCATCTATTTGTTGAGCATCTACTATATGCGAGGGACAGAGGAAAAGATAAACAGAATCCCTGTCTTGATATAACTTAACTGTAAGTGGGAGAGATACATAATAAACCAGCGAACAAATAATTACACAAGATCCAAATTTGGATTCTAAGAGCTATGAAGAAAATCAATAAGCAATATGATAGAAAGTAGATGAGCAGAGTCATTGAATGAATACTCATAAGCATAAAAAAGTGGGCTCTTCACTTTTCTTCATTTCACTTGAGTGTTATTTGAATTTTTACAAGAAAATACACAATGCATAATTGTAATGTTTTACATAATATTTAAGCCAGTAAGTCCTACCCGTTAACATAAAATAAAAAATGAAATTCTACTCCCTTATTACAGAAGAAGGAACCAAGGACCAGAGGTTAAAGGACACTTTATCGAAATTGCATGGCTGGTTGAGAATGAACCCAGGTTTCCTGATGAGCTAGGATACTGGCTTCTAGAGAGGTCAGCATGCTGATCCTTTGAATGTGTGAATGTTTTGTTTAATTTATTAAATCTATGTCTGGTAGCAAGGTGTGGATTTTGAGGATAAGATATATGGAACTGTTCTCTATATAAAGGATAAATGTAGGGCTGGGCACGGTGGCTCAAGCCTGTAATCCCAGCACTTTGGGAGGCTGAGGTGGGTGGATCACGAGGTCAAAGATCAAGACCATCCTGGTCAACATGGTGAAACCCCGTCTCTACGAAAAATACAAAACATTAGCTGGGCATGGTGGCGCGTGCCTGTAATCCCAGCTACTCAGGAGGTTGAGGCAGGAGAATTGCCTGAACCCAGGAGGCGGAGGTTGTGGTGAGCCGAGATCGCGCCATTGCACTCCGCCTCCTGGGTTCAGTGAAACTCCGTCTCAAAAAAAAAAAAAAAAAAAAAGAATAAATGTATATTTTTCTATAGTTGTGGGAATAAAAAGGGATGGATCTGGGGAATTTAGAGTGGGCCAGAGAGTTCTGGAATAAGCAGGAACTCAGTAAGTACAGGAAGGACTGATGGAAAGCTGGGATCTCTCTCTCTCATTCTCCCTTTCACACAGGTGTGCACACACGCAAACACATACCTCACAACCCATGTAGAAAGAGGACCTAACGATGTGGGTAAAATGATGGATAGATAGACACATGTCCTAAAAAAAATAGCTGACTTCAAAGACCCATCTCCCTCACCATCACATCCTGAGAGATAATGCCTCTGCATGACACCACTCAATAAATGATAACCTTCAGGTATAATGAAGTGAAAAGTAAACTGAGTCAGGATTTTCTGTGGCCACGATTTAATGAACATGGAAATGAAGAAGTGTCCTCCAGGAAGTAGAAGAGAGAATAAAAGAGTGTGTCTCTTTGGTTTGTGGTTCTTTGTTTTGTTTTAGAGGTTTTTTACATTGCCTTTCATTTAGTGTATGACAGGTTCTTTGAAGTGAAAATAAGATATTGTATCTGCTGCACTGATTCCAGCTAGTTTATCAGGACAATTATTGTGGGCGGCTGGGAGTGGGACTTCTCTCCTGCCCTTCCTCGAGGAGAAGTCTTCAGGACCTTGGAAGCCCTGTGTCACCTCCTCTCTTTAGTTACTCCTCCCTATGGGGAAAAGGGCTGTGTCTGATTGGTTGGGACTAAGAAATGAATCTGCATAATCTTGGCCTTTTATCTATTGTTTTCACTTTGAGATCTGATCTTTCTGCAGGAAGCATGCGCTTGCTCTGGTTCTCAATGCCTTGAGTTTTACAAAGGTAGGCACAAAGCAGGGGTGCTGTGATTAAGTCTTGCTACTTCTAAGATTCAGTATTAGTAAGCCTCCTAGCCTATAAATAGAAACTGCATTTTCCAACATCAACTTCAGGTAAGAAAAATAGTATGTTGGCTCCCAACCTACCTTACTCTTGAGCCTTATTTTCCTTTTGGTTCAGAACCCAAGTGCACAAGAAGGGTACTATTTATTGGACCCTATCAACTCTCAACAACCATACATGGAATGGCAGGGAAACAGCCCTCTGGTCAAATTGAGTTTGGTGTTGATGACTTGGGACCTTGTAGGAGCATGCTACTTGATACCAGTCTACCAAGAATTGTTCAAGTCAGAAGACAATCAGCATTTTATTTTTGCTTTTCTTGAACCAATATTATAGAAATAAATAGACAGCTATTAATAAAGATTTGTGTGCACTTAATATAATTAAATATTTTTATTGCAATGAAAACAAATTATCCCACCTGGATGGGTTTAAGTCTGAGAAAAATGTCAGCTTTTCCATCGAGTCAGCCTTGCTGGCACCTGCAAGATATGCTTCCTTCTGCCTCAATTCCTAAACTGCTTCTTTCATATCACTCAAGTTACTTACCACAACAGCATTCTACGGCAGCTGTGAATACATCTTCTCCCCCATTTCCAGTGTTGTTAGCTCCTGCAGCCCAGGAACCTTATCTTACTCGTGGCTGTGTGCTTCGCAGTATCTATTACAGAGGCATGCAATTTGTAGATAGCAAGGAAATGCAATTTTGAAATGTTTAAAAGCAAGCAGATCATAAACCAAAGGGCTTAGAGTTGATGGCAAATAATATCAGGTGCTTTTCCTCTGCACAGACATTTAATTACATATTTAAAAATAAATGGACATCAAGAGCAGCCTTGAAAAGAAGAAGTTCCTAAGACGCATCCTTGGGAAGTTGAGAAAGGTAGAAAGAGGGAGGAATACTGACTTTTCCCCTATGTTCTCTCATGTTTTTCATTATTTCTCCTAACCTTGATAGCCTATATTTCTCAGGCTCTCAGAAGCCTTTAGCATAATGCAGGAACCCACTTCCCTACAAAATCCACTCCCCCAACCCCTGTCACCATCTACAAAGAGTTGCCTCAGGTGAACCTGTACATTTCTATCAATGTAGTCTCCTGCCTAGAAAGCCTCTTGAGGTACCTGGCTCAGCCATTCTAGCTGTCTTGATCCTTGACTGAGGCTTCTAACCCCTTTCTCACAGGCTCCCAAAGCTACATTCTCAAGCTGCCAGATGGCCTTGGGATAATGGGTCCTCACAGAGACTGAGGAAACTGCACCACATCACTTGACTTCAAAGAAAGGATATGCTTATGTTTATTGTCTCTTAGAGAACTTTAAGAAAACAGTTTCTTCACCTTCTGCCTGGCATCTCTCCTTTCTCCTTATCCTTTCTTCCACTAGATACCCTGCAAACCTCTTCCACATTCAGAAGAAACCATCATGAAAATCTATGCTTGGAGATCTCACTTACACCTCACCTGTGTCCCCAACGCCCTCAAACAAGAACTCTTGCCATGCCCACTATTCATTGCTTCAGGCCCTGCCTCATCCTACATTGATTGGCTTAAGAAGCAGTGTGCTGACCAGCATGGAGAAACCCTATCTCTACTAAAAACACAGAATTAACCAGGCGTGGTGGCACATGCCTGTAAACCCAGCTACTTGGGAGGCTGAGGCAGGAGAATCGCTTGAACACAGGAGGCGGAGGTTGCTGTAAGCCGAGATGGTGCCATTGTGCTCCAGCCTGAGCAACAAGAGTGGGACTCCATCTCAAAAAAAAGAAAAAGAAGAAGAGGAGGAGGAGGAAGAAGAAGAAGAGGAGAAGCAGCGTGGAGTCTCAGAAGTTCCGGAGAAATCATCCACAATTAACCACACAGTTTGTCCAGCTCTGAGCCTGGGGCTGAGACATTTGCCACTTCCTGTCCCATCGGTGCTCCTATAGGCACGTCACTGCTCAGTTCCACAGCTCAAACTCCACTGCAGTGGAGTAGAACTTGATGAGTGAGCATGAGGGTAGAGACAAGGGCCCTGGGGTGAATGTGAACTCCATGGTCTCTCACTCGAGTTTCAGTTCTTCCGCTATTTCCTCACGGCCTTGGAAAAGTAAGTAACTTTCTCCACTTGTTCATCGGCTTTTTCCATTTACACATAAGGTGGTTAGATCTGGTAATCCCCTTGACATGTTAAACATAAATGACAGCTTATATAATAGAAATACTAAATATTAAGTTTGGGGCCCTGGTTACATCTCATTTGATCATTCAGACAGTTTCTACATAATCCCATGTTCGTTCATGCATTCAAAGCTTGGGTTCATTTAAAATTACATAATCCAAGAAATGCTAATATCAGAAGTCCTGTTCCTGTGTTTTTTAAGACAAGAAAACAACTACTCGTTGCACGCTCACGTGCTATACAGTAACAAAGCCAGAGGCTGACAATGAACTAAGTGGGACCACTATTTACTATTCCTGGTAGAACAACCAATCCAATGGTGAAAATTCAGTAGCCGAGGAACAGTTTCTGGTTTCAGCTATGCTTTTTGCCTTGGCTGAGGAAATATACCAAAGCACTGGGTTTTATCTGACACTCAGAGAACTCAGAACTGGAGTTGGTGTTGCAAAGTAGCAAAAATCATTCATTGACTTGAGCTGCAGGAGGCCTATCTATTGTGCAGTCCACACGTGAGAAATTGCACCTCTTCTTTCCATGAGAAGCTGGGCTCAAATTCGTTGCATTAATTTTATTGATCTACGGTCTGTGCAAGGTAAAAGTCCTATGATTGCATGGCTAACCCTGGTATACTCTATGCTCCTTGACAGGTTTTCTGATAGGTCTAAGAGTTATTTTTCCCCCAGGCCACACTTAAAGAGCCAACTTGAGCATTTTCATAGGAGCCAGGGATGCAAGAGATCTAAGGAGTTTCCTATGTTAACTCTCTTTCCCCAGTACAAGGATTCATATATTCTTAAAACTTCTCTAAGTGTCATCCAACTTAGAGGAACATATTTAAGTGGCAAGAAACTCATGATTCTTGAACCCATCTTTTCCATTTTTGGCTAGCTTCAATGGTTAGAAAGTTCCAAAGAATCATAAGTCCAAATGTCTTCCTACCTAGGTTACCTTAACTTATAAACTCTTAGCCCAGCTCCTCACATGTAGTAGTTGATAAGCCTTAATTATAACACAGGTATCATACTGAAACAATTCCCTATAGTACCTTAAGACCATGGACGTTGAAAGCAGGCATGCCTAAAGAAAAGTGTAACTTTGGGCAAGGTATTCATTAAGCTTTAATTTCCTTATTCATAATGTGTAATAACAGCTCCAACCCTACATATATTACCTGTTAAATGAGATAATGCAAGTCATCTACTTAGTACAGTTGACTGACAGTAAGCACTCCAAATATTTAGCTATTACCATCAATAATTATTTCTGGCAACGTTCTCTCCAATGGAAAAATTATCAGGCACGTACACTGGAAGGAGAAGATGAAATAACTTGTTGAAATGGATAGCAATAGAAAACCTCTGCCTGAGGCAGAGCTCTTTCTTAGTCCATCTCTCAATCTCTCATGCATAACACACTATTTGGTGTAGGCTACATAAATGTTTATTGAGTTGAACTGAACTAAACTTTCCATTAATGAGGACAAACCAAAGATAACATCAAAATATGTTTTCATAGACATTCACATTCTCCTATTAAGCTTTATTTAGAAAATATCTACGGGAAATGAATCAATTAACTGTTAAATCCTCTTTACATAAATCCATTTTACCCTTCTGTATTAGTCAGGGTTCTCTAGAGGAACAGGACTCATAGGATAGATGTATGTATAAAAGGAAGTATATTAAGCAGTATTGACTCCCACAATCACAAAGTGAAGTCCCGCAATAGACCGTCTGCAAGCCGAGGAGCAAGGAAGCTAGTCCAAGTCCCAAAACCTCCGAAGTAGGTAAGCCAACAATGCGGGCTGTAGTCTGTGGCCAAAGGCCTGAGAACCCCAGGAAAACCACTAGCATAGGTCCAATAGTCCAAAAGCTGAAGAACTTGGAGTCTGATGTTCGAGGGCAGGAGACATCCAGCATGGGAGGAAGATGAAGACTGAAATACTCAGCCAGTCTAGTCCTTCCACGTTCCTCTGCTTGCTTTTATCCTAGCTGTGCTGGCAACTGATTAGATGACCAACCAGACTAGGGTGGGTCTGCTTCTCCCAGTCCACTGACTCCAATGTTAATATCCTTGGGCAACATGGTCACAGACACACCCAGAATAGTACTTCCAATCCTTCAATTCAATCAAGTTGACACTAATATTCACTATCATACCTTCCTTTATTTTTTCTACATCATTTGGGTTATTGGATCTCCTTTTGCTATTGTTTATGTAGATGGATATCACAATCTATCATTTCGTTTTTTTTTCTGAGACGGAGTCTCACTCTGTCACCCAGGCTGGAGTGCAGTATTGCAATCTCAGCTTACTCCAACCTCCACCTTCTGGGTTCAAGTGTTTCTCCTGCCTTAGCCTCCTGAGTAGCTGGGACTACAGGCATGTGCCACCATGCCCAGCTAATTTTTGTGTTTTTAGTAAAAGCGGGGTTTTACCATATTGGTCAGGCTGGTCTCGAACTCCTGACCTCGTGATCCGCCCACATCAGCCTTCCCAAGTGCTGGGATTACATGCATGAGCCACCGTGCCCAGCCTACAGTCTATCATTTCTATCAGTCGATAATCATAGACTTGGAAGAGGTCTCGAAGATTAAGTTCATCTTGTATATTTTACATATATTGAAACTAAGACCTAGTGAGAAGGAGCAACATGTCCAAAGTTACCCAGGTTTTTAATAGTAGAATTAGCACCAGAAGGCCTGGCACGCTGGCTCATGCCTGTAATCTCAACACTTTGGATCATGAGGTCAAAAGATCAAGATCATCCTGGCCAACAGGGTGAAACCTCATCTCTACTAAAAATACAAAAGTTGGCTTGGTGTGGTGGTGTGTGCCTGTAATCCCAGCTACTTGGGACGCTGAGGCAGGAGAATCACTTGAACCCAGGAGGCAGAGGTTGTGGGGAGATGAGATCATGCCATTGCACTCCAGCCTGGCAACAGAGGGAGATTCTGTTGCAAAAAATAAAAATAAAAAAGAACTAGCACCAGAAAATTATTTCTGACTCCCAAGTTAAAATTCCCTTTGCTCTACCATACCGTTAGCAAATAACGAGAGACTCATCACTATACGTCATCTTTGGCATTCTGAGCTGTGTTCTGTGAGGGTAATTAGATGTATAGCCTCCCTTTATATTTGTTAGAGGCATTTAGAGATGCTGGCTCTTCTTTCCCCTTCGCCTCTCTCTCTCTCTGGCTATTTCCAGATTTTCAACTGATTACATTTTAAAAATCACATCATTTATATGAATCAAGCTTACTTGGATGTGGGTGACAGAAAGCCAACTCAAACTAATTTATGCAAAGAAAAATTATTGGGAAAGACTGTGGCATGTCTAGTAGTAAAGAAAGTGAAATCGTGAAGGACTTTCTAAAGAAAAGAACGGTTTGGGATTCATGAATCTTCTCTGTACTGCCATTACTAATGACTTCCGGTCTCTGTCTCTTTTGTTTTTAGTTTTAAATGAGAGAGAGAGAGAAAGAGAGAATAGATCACCGCAGCTAAGGTCCAGCATCCAATTAGCTATGGTGAGAGTTGGAAGGTTACCCACATAGGACAGCTCCACTACAGACCTCCCTTTTCTGAGTATCAGGGGCTGTCCCTAAAGGGAATCATTGTGAACAGAGAAGCAGCCCCAAAAGGTATGTATTATATTTCACTGTATATCTCCCCAAGTAGATCATGAATTTCCAGAAGGCAAGGATCTTATACAATATTTTCGAACATTTTCCTTGCCTTCTGTGTAATAAACACCTAATGCACATTTGTGGATTTGAATTGTGTTAGATCCACTGTTTCTTTTTATCCAGGCTTACTGAACTAAGCTAAGAAAACTACAGTATACAACTAATAAGAAAGAGGACTTTGCATTGTTTTTGGTTATTTGGAAAACCTCAAACCCAAACCAATATTATATCCTCACTCCGGTGAAAAATATCTAACCACGTTTCCCTCCCCAGTTTCATGTAGACAGAGTTCCTCTTTCTCAGGCAGCTTCTCTACTGGAAGTGTCTCTTCCTGACCTCCTGGAGCTTCCCCACAGCTAAGTCTTCAGTGGTTCAAATAGAGCCCTGCTGTGCTCAGGTCATTAGGATTCTTGTCTTTCCTCTTCCTATGACAGACATCCAGATAACATATTCTCTTCTCTTGAGAAAAAGCTCCAATTCAATATGCTCATTAAAGCCCTGTGATTCTCCTGCTTCCTTCAAATGCACAACGAAAATGAGTCACGTTACGCTGACCCGAAACCTGGCCAGGGAGTGCCTGCCCAGGCCAGGTGTGGGCTGACTGCCAGGCCCTTGTGAGATGTACTAGGCAGTTTCACTGTCAAATGCCAGATTCTGCTGTTACCTTCCAGCTGGTTATTGGAGCTGGCAGGCAACTGCGTAAAGAACCGTGAACAA